TAGTACTGTGCCAATAATAACTTTAGCTAGTTTTTTGAAAAAACAAACCTCGATAACATTGTGATAAATAATTAATAAAAAAATCTAACAGTGCGATTATCGCTAGTAACATCTAGGGCAACTAAACTTAAATTTCTTTTCTTACTTACAAAATAGTAGTGTATGTAATATATATAAGTATATATATTGATTCATTTTGGAATCGATTCTACCCGATCGTTTTATTTTTCATTACATTTATTTAAAAAAAAATATTATTCAAGTGATTTTCGAACCACGCGTCGCTTACCAGTGTCCCGCGGGGCGTTGCCGAGGTAAGATCTGTGTAAAATTATTGCGCGAATCGCGAGACATAAAAAGTTACCCATATTTATTTTTCGGTGCCGCGCCAGCGGTGTCCTCACGTAAATACCTATCGCGCTGGGAACACCTGGCCTTAATGAGCAAATATTCGAAAAAAATTGTATTGATATTTAATTTTAAAATAACACTAGCTGTTCCCCGTGAATTTGTCCACGTGGATTTTTTTTTGGGCGAAACCCTAAAATAAAAGTTGCCTAAGTCACTCCTTTTAACACCAGCTATCTGTCAGTGAAAGTCCCATTCAAATCGGTTCACAGGATTTGCGTGATGCATATTCAGACAGACGCCGTGTTAGAGTATATATAGTACTAGCTGTGCCCCGCGGTTTCACCCGCGTATTATTTAACGAATTACTAATTGATTAATTGATTTACAGTAGCTTTTTTGGGACATCTGTGTTTCAAGAATTAAACAGATTTTCACAAAGGGGAAGATTACAGGCAAAGTTTGTCTGAAATCACCAGAAAACATAAAAGTAATTCTACCCATAACTTTATTTGTGCTCCTTATGTCTCTGAGAGTTCTGTCTAATGCCTCTACGTGACCTCTATGCGTCATGGTGCACTTATCACATATTATTAGACTGGCATTATTTTACTCAACAGGCCATTTTTACTGATAGAACACATACTGTCTCGTTCAAGTGACACAGTAAGGGACAATTTAAAGGTAGAATGATCCGTTCTCCCGCCTGTCAAAAGTGTAGCTGCAATACCTGACGACGCAACGGCAATAGCAATTTTTCCCTGTGATCTAACATTCCTGTGACAGAACAGCTAATATTAAATTGGTGACAAGTCTTATCAGTTCCACCTGGAGCATCTAAAAAAATGTTTTGCCTTCGTCAGATCATGCACCAACTTAGGTTCATTTTCGGAAATATACTTATTTAATTCGTTTACAAAACTTCTTCTAGAGGCTCCATATTATGAGAATTATTGCGAATTGGGGCCGGAAGCACGTCTAGCAGCCGTTTGTTCATTCTGGTCCATCAAACGCTGAGAACGTTCAGCACTCGTTTCCCTAAGCCGATTTTCTTTAGAAACGTTACGTTGATTATCCAACCTATTAATATGCTCATCTTTCGTCTCACTGCCACGCATAAGTCTCAAACGTTTTGCTGTAGCAGAATGCAAAGAAAGCTGAGACTTTCTTCGAGGCATTTTGGATCAAACAAAAAATCTATAAGTAGATCCCTCCCCAGAAGTTGATATAACAAACTAAAGATACATAACCAAACAATCAATTAATTGGAACCTATAATACCTATATGCGACAATATTTACTAAAAATAAGTATTTACAGCGAGTCATTAAAACAACCATGATTTTTTTCTTTCCACTAACTATGTAAACAAACCTATACAGACAAAAGAAAACAAAAAATAAATTTTAATTGTACACCTGCCCACGTACTTCGTAATTAACTACAAATTTAACAAAATAATTACCTACTATTAGAAGCGGAAAAAAGAATGAAGCTATACCATGTGCATACCCTAAACATATCCTAAACTTATTTTTATAAACCTATGAGACAAAACGATTATGAATCAATCAAAAAAGAAATTTTAATTGTAGAAGTGGAAAAACGAAATAATATATACCATCTACAGACCATAAATATACCCTAAACTTATTTTAATCGACCTATTGAGACAAAACAAAACAATCGTAAATTAATCAACCAGTACTTTCTACCACTACCATAATAACCTACTTAGTACTAACCAACAAATAGAAAATAATTAAGTATTACGTTTATTTATAAATTAACTGTTCAGAACGACCTAAATTCTATATTAAATTTACATATTATCTAAGTACATACACAATTACCACAATGTAAAATTCAAATTATTCAATGTACCTATACACAAAAAGTCAACATGAACTCTGTGCAAGCCACGTCTGTAACGAAGAGCCGTTCATGCATATAAGCCGCGCGAAATGACACCTCGCTTACATAGGCGTTCACTGCTGGTTTCTCTCGGATCTCATCGGGCGGCTAGGGTTTATGCGGTCATTAGCGCTCCGATCAGGGTGTTCATTGCGGAAGCCTACTCAAAGTTTGTGTGGAATAGAATTTTTCATGTCATAAGAAGATTCAAATGTAAACATGGGAAAGAAGTGATGCCAGAAGCATGATAGATTTCATAACGGTGGATGAAAGAATGAGGAGCGCAGTGCTAGATGCAGGAATTTAGCGGGGGTCCAACGTAGATACGAATTGGTCTCATGCCGAATTAATGGTCTATTCAGACGTTGGCGACATCGGACATCAGTGTCTACCACTGCGGTACAGCGTATAAGAACAAAGGGGTTACAAGATGAAGGTGTGAAAAAGGAGTACAAATGTAGATTGAGAGAAAATATAAGTGGTTTGGATGAATTTCGTATAAATGGTGTAGATTTGGTGACTGTGGCATAATGTTAAGAAAGGTTTGGTGTATGCTGCTACCGGCGTAAGAAAACGAATGAAAGGAAAAATAATACGTTATGGTGGGATGATGAGAAACGGGTGGAAGTTAAAGCAGAGAATAGAGCATGGCTAGATTTACTAGGCTAGTAATTCTAGCGGTATGAGTGACGCTATTGAAAGAAAAAAGGCAGTCTTTAGACGCCTAACTAAGAGAGTACAAGAAGTAGTTGAAAGGAAAAAGCAAGAAAAGAATGATTGGAGAAATATCGGATAACTTCCAGGTAAATATTAAAACGTTCAGGAAACTCGTAAGAACTGCAAATGGACATTCAAAACAACCTAGAATTAATGCTATACGAGACCAGACTGGCTGTATTATGAACGACTAAGTTTGAAGATTAGAGATGGAAGAAATACTTTGAAAGCGTGTTTATGAGTGAGGAGACGTTTGAATTAAATGAAATAAGAAGTTCCGAAAGAAGAGGAAAATGATAGGGAGATAAGTATAGATGAAATAATAAAAGCAATGACAAGCATGAATGCAGGTAAATCAGCCGGATATGATAGAGTATTATTCGAAATGCTAAGGGCAGGATAGGGAGTGGTGGCAAGCCTGCTGTACACCTTGTTCAATTTACGTTGGGAACTGAAGCGGTTACCGGGAGAATGGTGCAAAGCCGTGATAGTCCTAATATATAAAGGAAAAGGGTCGAAGCAGGACTGTAAAAACTACCGTACCGCCTTCTTAGCATTGTGGGAAAACTATATGCTAAGGTACTAATTGCAAGAGTTATGAAAGAAAATGATAGACAATTAAGGATGTGCAAGCGGGTTATAGAAAGGGGATGGGCTGTACGGATCAAATCTTTTCCATACGCATGATCGCGAAGTTTTTGGCTATAAACCAAAAAGTTTTTATTGCGTTCATGGACTTGGAAAGGGCTTATGACAGAGTGGACAGGGATGTGTTATGGATAACAATGAACTCATTTAAGTTGAGCGCTGAGTTAAAACAGGCATTGAAGTCTCTTTATAGGGAACTTAGTGATTTCGTCAGGATCAACGGGGTCTACTCGGACTGATTTGGCATCCATGAAGATGTCAGGACCGTACTTTGTGTCATTCTTTGGGGGAGATCTATGTTCAGCATTGGACTTATGAAGGGCTGTAATGATGATGATGAAAGGTGTCAGACAAGGCTGTGTGACTTCCCTGTGACTGTTCAATCTATTTATGGACAGTTGTTTGATGTTGAAAATTTTAAAGTTGAAGAATGCGGGTTAAGAATAGGTTAGTTAACCGTCAAATGCCCTTTTGTACGCTGATGATCAAGTCATATTTGTGTCGTCGGCAGCCGAGTTGCAAATGATGCTTACATTAATAAACAGGTAAGACGAAAGTTTTTTTGAAAGAGAAGAAAATAAAACGATATGTGAAATAATAGACGGGGAGCTGGTCGAGCAAGTAGATGAGTTTGTATATGTGACGAGTGAACACAGGAAATAGAGCAAATGGGGCTCTAAACTATATGGTGAAAAATCAGAATATGTCAAAAAAGGCACGTATGGGGCAATTCACAGTGCTATGTTAGTCCCTACTCTAATGTATGGTAGTAGAAATTGGGTGTGGCAGATGAAGCACGAGAGTAGAATAAATGCTATAGAAATGCGGTGATTAAGGAGTATTTTAGGGCTGTGGCCCTAGGCGAATGTTTATCGACCAAATTGGCGGTATATTAAAAATGGGCCAAATTAAGAGTACCCTTAACCGACGAGCAATATGGATGTGGAGGCGAGAGAGGTGTGTCAGGATCGAGCCAAACTCTGCGTCACAGGCGTGAGTTTTTATGTATATGTTATGTACAAACTCCCATTAAAGAATAAAATGATCTAATATTCTGTTTGTTCTTATAAGTCTGAAGGATTGGATTCCGCAAATAACATCAAGTTCGTCGTAATTTTTTATAATATTATACTCTAATAATAATTTAATTGAATAAATAATTATAAGTGAATATTTTAATTAAGGACCTGTTAGTATATTAATTAAACATTTGATATGAAATTCAACTTATTCTTGACCTTTAGATATTTTAAGGAAGGAGAACTATAAGTAACAACACAGTCATTGGAACAACGAAACAAGGCACTGAAACAAGATTTTTCTCGTCATTTAAAAATATAACGAAATATAAAAGATTACCGCTGGGTGCTCACCTGTTCTCGATTGAATTTCATTACTCATCATATTCTTTATTTGTTCCATTAGGTCCTGAAATGAAAATAGTATTTAATGTTTTTTTACGATATTTAAAGAACAGGTTTTTAACTTATCTATTGCTTTTCTGTGCCTGAACGACCGACGCAAGACATACGAACCAGACTGCAGCTAAAACCGATTATTCCTACGAAATATATACAAATCGTGTTCCTCTGTTTAAACCTCCAAAACTGGACCAATTTGAATTTTCATTCTAAAAAAGAACAGAGAGTTTTTTGCTATATCTGTATGTTTTACATGTGCCTTAATTTTGTTTTATATATATATAATAATAGGTCGAGGAAGTTTCTTCGTATATTGTTTGTATAAAATTTAAGAAAAATTTCTATGGTTGCACTGTTTTTATCTGGCTGGTTTTAATATCAATATTAAATATCTAGTATATAATATTTAAAGTAAAAATAGAAAGTGAAAAATACTTTCCCGCCATTTTTCAAATGTTTTGTCCGTCAAAATGAGTGAATCTAACAAAGAAGTTCGATACATTCTGAATTTAGTTTTATTACAAAAAAAAAAGGAAAAATGCGACCCAAGCCGCGAAAAAATTTGCGACGTTTATGTACCTAATGCAGTCAGTAAGAGTAGCACAAAAATGATTTAAGCGTTTTAAGTGTGGGAATTTTCATGTCAAAGAAGTAGCTCGCTCTGGTCGCCTTCATTCGGATAGTCTATGCCATTTTTGAAAAAGTGCAGCAATATCGGCATATTGGTAGTTATAACATAGCCGAGAAATTAAGGATTGACCACAAAACAATGGGTCAACCATTTCAAAAGGTCTGGGCTATACAAAAAAGCTCGATATTTGAGTACCACACGAGCTCATTAAAAAATACCTGATAAAAAGTGGGTCTCCTGCAACAAGACCGTGCGCAAAAGATCATGGCCAAAGTGCGAAAAAGATCAAGATTGGAAGGACCCCGCTTATTATGAGCTTTTACCGCCATAAAATCATTGTGATCTCTACTGCCAACAACTAATAAGACTCAAGCAAGACATTGGAGAATACGGCCGGAAATGATCAACAGAAAAGGAGTGGTCTTTTATCATGATAACGTCAGACCACACACACCTATGGCGGCTCCGTGGCGCAGTGGCTTAGCAATGAGTCTCAAAGCTAAGGGCTGCGGGTTCGAATCCCACACGGAACAAGTATTTGTATGCCCTACACAAATAATTGTTCCGGGTCTGGATGTTTGTCCTTGTGAAATTTATGTATGTAAACTGCCCCCACGGTACGGGAGAAAATCCTAGTGTGGAGGTAATGTTTTTTTAATAAATAAAAAAATCTTTGGCCACTCAGCAAAATTTAGAGAGTTTGGTTGGGATGTGTTAATGCATCCACCATATAGTCCTGACCTTGCACCCTCAGATTTTCACCTGTTTCGCTCTCTTTAGAATCCTTTGGGTAGTGTTAGGTTAACATCAAGAGTGGATTGTCAAAACTACTTGTCGCATTTTTTTGATCATATATCCCAAGATTTCTATAGCAACAGGATTATATCACTGCCTACAAGATGCCAATAAGTTACCGAACAAAATGACTATATATTATAATTAAACTTAAAAAAGTGCATAATTTGTATATAAAATAAGAAGAAACTTTTCGCCCGACCTATTATAGTAATGGCGGTATAACAACTGGGCAATTTTACTGAATAGTGATTTTAGCAATTTCTAGTTTTTATAATAATTAATTTATGGCCAAACAATACCGTAAAAATATTCCATTAATATAGTAGCTCTAGTGTCATTAGATAATTAAATCAGAGAGAAAACAAAGTATAAGTATGTATGGTCTAAACACCGCCCGGATACCCTTAATAGACTTAAGTTAATAGTTACCTTAATATGTGTCACCACCGCTTGAGATATTTGCAAGAGCCTTGAAAAATAAATAATAAAAGTTAGTAAGCATGTTGGTTCAATAAATACGAGTATTACGACCAATTATGAAAAAATCTAAGCATAAGTATAACTATCATATCATCGTCATCATTCATCATTACAGCCCTGGATCAAGTCCACTGCTGAACATAGGCCATCTAAGCCACCTATATCTGTTTACTTCCTGCATCACTTACCAGGTTGCCATTTGATCTAGAGAAGGGAAGAGACTACACTTCGTCTACCGGTACGAGGCTGCAACTCTAGAACCTTTCTTTCCCCATCAGTTGTGGGTGCCGGTCTATTGCCACTTCGATTTTCTGATCCGTTGATGAGGAAGCTCAAGCTATGTAGATGGCTATACTCGGGGTTTCTCCGCGTGATAAACTTAGAAATGAGGATATCCGCGGTAGAATCAGAGGAACCGACATAACCCAACAGATCAGTAAGCTGAAGTGGCAATAGGCTGGTCATATAGCTCGAAGACCCACAACCGTTCAGGAAAGAGGTTCTCAAGTGGCAGCCTGGTACCAGTAGGCGAAGTGTAGGGCGTACCTAACTAGATGGAGGACGATCTGGTAAGATATGCAGGTAGTCGATGGATGCCGGTGGCTGAGGACTGTGCTTTGGGGCATTCCTTGGCTTCCCTATGTTCAGCAGTGGACTTGCGAAGGGCTGCAATAAATTATTGTATTAATTCCTTTTTTAAAATCATTAACAATTCAGTCTATAAATCCATACAGTATTAGTAGCTCGGGACACGACTTCCAGGGTTAACGAGCGTTTGCTTTTATAATTTTTAAATTTAGTGTTGATACTTATAATTAAAATAGTTCATTCTGTGTGCTGTGAGAGATTGCAAGTCGTCATTTCGCATAAATAAATATCTGCGATTTCACCAAATCCCGCACACGGAAGAAAGGTAAATAAATATTGTTTACATTATTTTTTACATTATGTATATTTTGTCATGTCATGCCAAATTGCCAACGTAAAAAAAATGGCGGACGTTGATGATTAGGAAAATAGCATACATTTTTATGTCTAAGATGGCGGACATTTTTTTAATAATATGATATGGGTATCAATTTCGAGGTTTCTTGGGGTCCTGATTACGAAAATGGTATTCATTTTTAAATTCAAGATGGTGGATATAATTTCTTTAATGTTATGGATGTCAATTTCGAGGTTTATTGGGGTGCGAATTACGAAAACGGCATCAATTTTCATATCCAAGATGGTGGATTTTTTTAATAATACAATATGGATGTCAATTTTAAGGTTTCTGGGGGTGATAATTATGAAAATTTATTAATAAGTATTGTATTTAAAAATTTCAGATGCAGATTATGGATGGAAGTTATTGGAAAACGTGATTTAGTTGGAAGAACTTTCGAAAGCCTAAAGAACCAATTATAAAATAAACTAATAATTAAATGTCTGTAGTCATTGTAGCGTTAATAATAATATGGATTTGATGTCTAGCTAAGAGTATAAGAACGATTTTATGTAGCGAAATTGAGGTATGGCCATATATCGACAGTAGAGCACTCGCTCACGTTGTGAGGCGTGCAATTAACGTTTTGAGTACTTTTAGGAAAAATCTAAGAACAAATAGTTATTTATTTTTTATATTAGTAATCATACTGTTGATGACGATGTAAATCTAAAATAAATAATTAAATTAGTAAAAGTTGTTAATTTGTGACAACCCTAACCTCCATACGCTGTCTAGACGTTGTCGGCATTTACCACGAGATCAAAGGCGTCGTCCTACTGTATGTTTATTATACTGCGCTAATTTGTTGCAACGAAATGTTTATTATGGATTCAATCACCTTCGTTCGGGAAATATTAACTTCACAAATGGACTTCATGCCCGGTCCGAGATGGATGATTATGACGAACTTTGAAGTATCTACTCTCAACATAAATTTTGATATCGATTAGTAATAGATAGATAGATAAAATAAATTAGATTCTCTACCCTATAAACATGTTCTAGTACCCATGGTAAGTTATGATGCCGTACATAACACGCTTAGGACTATCAAGCTGTTATCAACTTTGACTACACATTTCATACCAATCATTTATGTCCTATAGGTGGTATTCCCTTCTCTTAAAGCATAGCGATTATAATATTCTCTTTAGAACGAAACAAACTACCACAAAACTCAACGTTGGAATAACAGTGCAGAGAATGCTGTTACGTACTGGGTTTAAATGTTCACTACTTACTTACTATTTAAGGTGCGGCACATCTCTTTTGGTCGAGCTATAACATACTTTCTTACTATTTACATAACGTTCTAAAGACCTTTACATTTAGATTACTGCCTATCGAAAATCTACCGCTGAACATAGGCCTTACAGAAAGATAGCCTCATATGGGATATATTTGTGATAGTTGCCACGCATGTCCAGCAGGTTATCACCTGTCCTTGAAACACGTTTACTATAAATAGTTAGTAAATTATTTTAACAAAGAACATACAATACTTCACCTTTGCTTTTATTATTATGGTCATGATCGACATGACTTTTGCCATTTTGTCCTCCACTTCAAGAATCTTATTAGATAGTTCAATATTCGCGAGTTCCGCAAATTTGAGTTTATCTTGGTTATATCTATATCTGAAAAGCAATACAACAAAGCACGTATATAAAGTAGTCAGGCTTGTATACTACGTAAAATAACCACACTTTAATCAAAAGAAAAATTGGAAAATGGAATAAAATTCTTCTTTAAAACAACCTTTCGTATAAGAATCGCTGCGCATTATTATATTAGATAAAGCTATCAATAATTATTAGAGGTAAATAATGTGTGGTTTGCAATTTCGATTTTGAACAAGTACATTCCTGACAATATTTTTATAACAGACAATTTAAAATATTATTAAATGACAGCTTAATGCTGCTGTGTTTCGTAAGGTGAAGGCTAGTGAAGGGAACCGGAGAACCCTTTTAATTGGAATCGAAGCATTCCATTTTATTTCCTCAGGGGTGACAACGCGTCTGCATTTTGATTCTTAATCTATGGGCCACAGCATCCACTTGCCATCAGATGAACTGTGTATTCGTTTGTCATCCTTATTCTATAAAAAATGGCTGCTGCAATAATGGGTCGGCTCGACCGCGATAGAACCATGCTTGCCTAGAATACCAGCGTAAAATAGCAGTATAATGGTGCTGTGTTTTTTCTATGGTGATTGGCCATATTCACCGAAGACTGCTGCGACGGCTTTCAATGGATTTTATATGTTTAACGATTAAAACTGTATCTTAATTTTAATCTCGCAATAATTAAATGCGCTTTCTTAGTTATGCGGGATAGTGGGGAAAGTTATCGATAGTTGCGTTCGCACTTACACGTGTTATGGCATCGTGGTACAATTGCAAACTATTTTAAATGTTAATATTAATTTAGAGGTTTTAAACAAAGCAAAGCAAAGTCTTTACAAAATGGATTCCTTTTGTAAAGACTAACATTTATTTTTTGAATAATATTTATAATTACTGTATGGTCTATATATTTTGGACGAGATGAAAACACTAAAACTAAAAGTAGTGCTCAAACCACGGAGCAAATACAAAGAGGTGTTGTAATTAGATTTTACTATGTAACAACGCGTGGGCAATTTGTGGGGTGAGGGGGTGTTAAGCCCCGCCCACTTAACTATTATACTCGCATCGTTCCATATCGATGTTGCAATGTAGTTTAGCTAGCTTGACGATAGATGGCAGCCTGTGGGCCTAGACAAGTGGCAGTCGCTCCGTGTCTAATCCATTCCGAAAATCAATTTCGTCTTAGCGATATCGAACGTCGATCGAAAACGATCGATCACGTGATGTTTCGAAAGCTTATGTCAGTTCAATACATTTCGGAGTCATTTAATTTCGTTATCGTTAATGAAAATGTGACTTTGTAAATGAAATATTATCACAAAATGATTATAAAAACTATAAAAATAATATTTTGGCGATTAAAAATTCTTTAGGACTGAATGCAATACAAATTTTTTTAGAACTATTTTAATAAATTAGATACATTTAATACATAATACATTTTTATTTATCCATTAACTAATCCCAACAGCAGTAACTGTAAATAGTTTAAGATGAGTGTACTTGCGCAAGTTCACACAGCTAATTTCTCTCGAGGCGCATTATAACTTTGGCGTACCTTATTATAAATTCAAATTTAAAGGAAGTACCTAGACTTTATTGAGGCCCTAGCTTTAAAATTAAAAAATAAAACAGTATTACAAAGAACATAAAATAAGATGAAGGTACGCACGCTCAGCAGACTACATTTGAATTAATAAATCTAATCTTAGAAACCTATGAAGATGTTTAAAACAGTCGGTCTGTGCTGCGGAAAATGTACACCTTATGATGTATAAACAAAAATACAAAGTAACTAATAAGCAAGAGGCACATATCTAACCTGAGCTCCGTGACTTCACAATTTTTGCATTTTTTTGGCACAATTCCACTGGCCTCCAGCACGCGCGCCGCATGGTCTAATGAAATACAACAATATTACTGTAATGGCAGCGTTTTTTCTTTTATATTACTTATATAAGTACAGTCCTAACGGATAAAGAATGGGAATACAAATGGCGGCTTATCGAGCCGGTACCGTCAACATGGACAGTACCAATAACATAGAATAAATCACTCCTGGTGCTACTTTCTAGTTCGTGAAGTTTAATTACAATCGGTTCAGCCATTTTTAAGTTTTTCTCTGACAGACAAACATACGATAAATTTTTGATTACTCATGTCTCAATAGCATGTAAATATTTTATACAAAAATATTATGAAACAATAAAAATAATTATGGAGAAAACTCTCAAAAAGCGTCGTAGGCCACAAAATTAGCGAAAAGATTTTTTTCTCGTCATGGCATTTTATTGTCATTGGTCCAATAACAAGTACTGTAATTACAGAATTAACGAAAAACGCATATCGCAACGTAATTTTATGCAGTCTTTACGGGCGGGTGTGAGTACAGATAGCGACAGCTTGCGAGCAAGATGTGAATAGAGGCGACATTTTCAATTCCATTCTTTAACCGCACGGATAGTAAAAGTATTACCACTTGCTGAGTTATCAACCTTATAGTTTTCCTAATTTTAAAACACTGAACGTCCGCTGGTTCAAAAAGCACAACAGCAAATTCAATGAGCAAATATATTTTTTACAATAGATTTAAGTGCAAGCGAAAATACGTTACTTATTTATTATTACAATAAACCGTTATTTCAAAGTTAATATTCTCAATCTTTAAAATTAAAAAAATTACAATTTTTTACGGTATAAAACATGCAAAAGCCGTGATTCGAGACTTTATGTAAGCACAGTGTATTAAATTCGCCTTTTACAAATTTCTGGTGGGTGCCATCTGTTAGATATATTTTTGCAACTAGATCAGATACAATACAAAGTAGAAGAAATTTCGTAAAATTTGCTACATGACAAATAAATAAAATAATACAGGAAATATAGTAAATAATAAGAAAAATAAAAATAACACTTACTCAGCGCCCAATCACGCTTTATGGGCGATGATCTCGCGTTCGGTGCCGGCACAGGTGGCGGTGGATTATCAAAAGTTTCCGGAGCCTCTGAAAAACATATATAATTCCATTTTAAAATGATTATAAACTAAGCAGAGATTGAGTCAAATAAGGATAGAGTGCCTTACATTGTTAAATTTAGTTAGTAACCTCATATTAACCCTACAATATGTAGGGTTAATATGAGGTTACTAACTAAACATGGGATAATGAAAGCATCAACAGTATCAAGTACTCAAAATTTCTACTCTTGCCAAATAAAATTAAACGATGATTAAAAACTGTAAGGCCGAGAAGTGTGCAGGCGAAACCTTTTAAAAATGAAAAAAGGTTGAGAGCAGCAGTAAACATTTATAGATTTAAGTGACACAGTTAAATCTTTATTGTAAACGGAACCCTAAATGGAAGTAAAATAGTTTGGAAAATCCAAAAGTGCACGCCTCAGAGAGCGTTTTATTTAATTTTGGTGAAAAAAAAATTGTATTCCTTACTTTTAAAATATATCATTTACGTGTTTTAAATTAAGCGCTCCATTATTTTGACAGGTAGTGTCACCCTACAGGGAAAAAATTAATAATGTTCACCAAAATAAATCGATTGCACAAAGTACAAAATCGATATAGGCTGTATGGTATATTTCACTCATTTGATGCAACAATGACGTAATTACACTTTTAGAAATTTTACAGGAGATCCATTTAAAGATTTCTATTAAAGGTATGACATTTTGAAGGGATTTATTACAAATGTCGTGATTTTATAAATAATTTTAATATGTGCAGTTTCTATTATAGTCCCAATCTACTCGGTACATTATACATAACCTAGATTATAGACTGAAATGAAAGAAGGTACCTGTAAATACGTCACTGTTGCTTCAGAATTTAATATAAAAAATAACGCATTAGCTAGGAAATTTTGCATTTGTGACAAAACAAAACTAAATAATTTAATTAATCAACGTAAACATTTATTTATGAATGTTTAATAAAATAAACTTAAGAAAAAACAACCATGTAGGTATATCTTATGTTCAATAGGTTTTTTTAGTATATTATTTTTAGTATATAACAGGTAATTTAAAATTACCTAATATTAAAAGTGGAAATATCTTAATACTTAACTATGATCATAATTTATAAGTCTAATTGGCACAAAATCACAGATTATTTACTTATCTACTTTTAATTACGTGATATGCGCCAGTATGTGCGTATGTGTGAAAAATGCTTAAAAAATAGAAAAAAAAACCTTTGGAAAATACTTTCATAAATAACTGAGTAATACCGAGGAATAATGTTTTTTTGTAACAGTTCTTTAAAATCATTTATCTTGTTTGCGGAAATTTCTCTTTTTGAAGTATACGCTGGAAACACTTCGATACATTCGTTGACTAGTAGATCTTTGTTTCTTTTTTTATTTCAGCATCACTCCAGTTATCTTCGAATTTGAGTTTGTACTTGTATACTGCATCATTGTCTTCTGTAAATTCTATTGCTTTTAGATTTGAGGTCTTTATGATGTTCTCTTCTACATCTTTGACAGTGTTAAGTTCGATTTCATCAGTAAAGTTTTTCAAATCATAAAAGTCATCGAAATTCAGTTCTTGAATAACAAATTGGTCACCTTTTATCTTTGCAGATCTTATTATTTGTACACACTGATCTGGTACGTCAATAGCGCCCGACTTTTTAGCTCTTTTTATTGTCTTTTCAATTATGGAGTGGGCCGTATCTCCCTCATTTTGGGTATGTCCCCTTATTAAAAATTTGTGAGTGATTTTATTGATTGGTAGAGTGTTGACTGCATACAAGTACATGGAAAATATAAATCTGAAAAAAATATAGAAAATATTAGACATTTCACAAAACTACAAAAAAAGTTCTTAACAAATGAAACGAACCTGTTCACGCACCTAGTTGCCCAGACTAAAGTCTACCAGACAGGGGCCCATACAGCTGTTAGATTCGACGAACAGCTAGGGCGGAGCCCAAGTGGCCTTATGGAAAATGTTCTATCCTACTACACTTTAATGGGAAGGCTAGTCAAATAAAGAGTACTTACCTGTATCTGAGGCGACGACTGTCTCAAGGTTCGGTCAGGACGGAGGTGTGTATGTGCATGTGTAGTGATGTTTTTAGTGGTGTGGATTGTGGTTGACCTGACTGGACCGTTGAAGTCAGCAGCTACCCGGACTCCGGCACCGCTCCAAATTATGGTAATCTCCAGCGGCGTCACCCACGGTCAATTTCTTTCTTCTTCACTATGTCAGTCTATTAACTTTATTCTACATTTAACTAACTTCAAAACGCAACTAAATCCCGTTACTTATGATCAAAAACGTAACACACAGCACGAATACCGAATCTTCGGATCAAAGGTCACTTCCGTTTCGCGTGGCAACAAATTATTTCTAGAACTTAACACGACCTTCTCTAGTGTCACAAAGTTCAGCGTTCAAATGCCGCACGAGCAAATTAATATTGTCAAATGCACTTATATACGCTATCAATTTCCAAAAAAATTCGCGGTAAATTAGGCGCGCACAACCCTCAAATTCAGACGTTGATCGCAATCAATGTTAACTTCCTAACAATTTGCCAACCCGGCGTCTAATTCTAGACTACAATTCCTCGTCGTTGCACAATTTGCTAACAAAACCGACGCTAAAAAATGGAGGTTGTCCCGAGCGACTTCCCGACGTGCTATCGATAGCACTGCATTCAAGCAACTCACGCTCTGCGCTCGCGCCCTCTGCCAAAGCCACTCCGCTCGCCCGAACGTCAAAACCGGTATGGTACCGAGCCGTACTCCCTCTGGCGTCAAATCTTGAAACCAGCGTTTGGGCGCGAAGAAACCCCCGTCCCGGACATAAGGACTTATGTCCGCGAGCAAACCGGCAAGCAGGACAGGGTCGCGACGGCACGTTGCAAGACCACATCTACAACCAAAACTAGGCCACCTTAGGCACCCCATCAGATCTTGCAACCTTAACCACCGCCTCAAAATTACAGCCCTAATGTGGACAAGCCGGAGGGTCAAACCTCCACTGGATGCCCTTCCTGGACATCGCTGCACCTAAATAAGTCCTGTTACTGGACAGAAGTCCGACGACCTCTTCAAACACCTATCGGTGCCCCTATGATTCGCTCCGCAATCCGACCGGATCAGGTCCGAAAACAGCGACGCGATACGAATCGGCCCAGCGTGGCCTCCTAAGCTTCAGTGCAGAGAGCACCCACAAATTCCACATGAACGTCGTCTGTGAAGAGCCAAACGAAACGCACAGATAGTCCTTAGTATAAATTTTCAAACAAGTAGACATAATCAAGCCATCTACTATATAACTATTTACTTAATTGTGCAGTAGCTGATTTCAATCTGATAATCTCTCAACTAGCTAGCCTTTTAGATATGTAGTCCTATGCTTATATTTCAACCAAGTTTCAAAAGCATCAATACTCAATCTACTATGCAAAACTTGAAAACAAACTGTAACAAATTCATTTCTTGACGCGCATAGATCAAAACAGACAAACTAAGCAAAACGACAAACATAAGAGATAGCCAAAAAAAAGTTTCTTTTTTCAAAATAAATATAATCGACAATGCCAACAAAAATATGAAAAAAAAGAGAGGATTGATTTTTATTTCCTTCGGCACAAACAGTGTTACTCAATTTCAATTTTCTTTCAACAAAGCAAACATAATGTTTAAATATATTTACAAACATATGTACAAATATTCAAAGAGCACTTTAAATCCTTGACAGCGTGATTCAACGCTCCAGGGGAGCCTTAATCTTCCCACCACCAAGTGGAGGCCACACCGTGTGAACCCGAATCCAATAGAGCGCGAGCGGCTAACAGTCGCCACTCGGGTTGTACGCCTTCACTGAGGCCGTCGGCAACAGAACAGTTTGACAAGTGGACTGTTGACGGCTCAAAGGCTAAGTGGAGGCGGCCGCGGTGGGAGCTAGGGCGGCAGCTAGCTAGGGCTGCCTCCATCAAAGGGGGGACGGCGGTACCCCAGCCGCGGCCACTCAGCTAACGGGGGTGAGAAGGGTCTAGCGGACTGCTGAGTGGCCGTGAAGTTCCTCTCCACACGCTGAGGGGGGGCGATGACACCCTCGTCCTTGGGGAAACTACCCCCCGACTGGTCGGGGGAGGGACCCATTTCAAACCTAGGGGCCCGGTGGCTGGCCGGCGAGCGCCGAACGTCACCCGTCAGAGGGTGTGGCTGAGCGCCCCCGGCCGTGGGGGTCGAGGGTCGGGCAGAGCCCCGAGAGGGGACGCCGTTCGCATCCAGGCACAAAATTGTATGGCGACCACCCCGGCTTCGGATCAAAGGTCACATCCGTTTCGCGTGGCAACAAATTATTTCTAGAACTAACACGACCTTCTCTAGTGTCACAAAGTTCAGCGTTCAACCGACAACGGAAAATGTCTCCGAACTATATCAAATGCCGCACGAGCAAATTAATATTGTCAAATGCACTTATATAGCCTATCAAATTAGAATAACCAAATTCGCGGTAAATTAGGCGCGCACAATCCACAAATTCAGACGTTGATCGCAATCAATGTTAACTTCCTAACAATCTGTCAACCCGGCGTCTAATTCTAGACTACAATTCCTCGTCGTTGCACAATTTGCTAACAAAACCGACTCTAAAAAATGGAGGTTATCCCGAGCGACTTCACGTGCTATCGATAGCACTGCATTCCAGCAACTCACGTTCCGCGCTCGCACCCTCTGCCAAAGTCACTCCGCTCGCCCGAACGTCAAAACCGGTATGGTACCGAGCCGAGCCCCCTCTGGCGTCAAATCTTGAAACCAGCGTTTGGGCGCGAACAGAACCTGTTTCTTTGTTGTCCACCACAATTGTTACTATAAAATGTGACCTTATAACCACCACCTGGAATAACGGACAAAACTCGTACGTATAACAATGACATAGTTACGTAGTTCCGTCTATTTTCAAAAGAGAACATACTTTATTAGCAGTAATAACAACGTAATTACACAATTCTGACATAGTTTCATCAGTTTAATAATTTATCTGGAGAAAAAACGACGTATTTACTCAATTTTGTTATCACTGAACTCTCAAAAAATACCATATTTGGAGCTACAATGACATATTTACAAAATTACGTCGTTGTTTCAGCAACAAGATACTTTTGTGGGACAAAAATTTACGTAATTACGCAATTTTGTTAGTTTCCCCAAGAATTTACTGATTTTTGAAGTAACAATGCCGCAATTGCTCAGTTACGGCATTGTTGCACCAAAAATTATCGGATTAAATGTCATAAATACCTTTACGTCGTTGTAGCTCCCAAACACAACTACACTCAGCAATGAGCCCTGCGCAACATTGTAGCAACAGAAATGGCGCCTTTTTACTCAATTCTACAAAGACACTTGCGCCATCTCGCAGCAAATCACCACAAATTCAGTTCTATCGATGTTTCTCCCGACGTACCTAAATAGTCTTTCCGCAAATTTTGACATAATATTTAACTTGTTTTTATAAAATAGTGTAATTACGTCACTGTTGCACCAAATGAGAGATTTGTCCATTGTCTTTTAAGGGCTAAATATGAAAGCACCTTTAAATTTTTAATAGCAATAAAATTTGAAAATCATTTTTTTTACAAACTACTCATAGTAGGCTATTGATATGAAACGTATCGAGACCGGGTTTTTTTATAAGCTTCAGAATTACATCAAATGGTTCCCTATTTCATATCAGTAGCCTAATCCGCGTAGTATGTTAATAGAATTATTTTCAAGTTTTAATGCTATTAAAAATTTAAAGGTACTTTCATATTTTTTTAGCCCTGGAAGGACAAATGTACCATACAGCCTATATCGATTTATTTTGATGAACATTGTTAAAATAATAGAGCGTCAAATTTAAAACAAGCAAGTAATATATTTTAAAAGTCAGGCATACAATTTTTTTTCATCTAAATTAAATGAAGGTGGCTTCCATCTATTAGAAATATTTTTGCGACTAGGTCAGATACAGTACGAAGTAAAAGAAATTTCGCAATATTTGTTACACGAATACACAAATAATGAAAATAATATAGGAAATGTAATATAAAATATAAATATAAGTAAAATAAAAATAACACTTACTCTGCGCCCAATCACGCTTTATGGGTGATGAGCTTGCTGTCGGTGCCGGCACAGGCGGTGGTGGATTATCAAAAGTTTGCCGAGCCTCTGAAAAACAACGCGATTGTTAGCAATATTTTTATTGAAAGAACATTATTGCATACATTTAAAAAAAGGTAAGAATGGTAAAAAGACAAAGTGCGCATTAATACTAGTCTCATAGCTATCTTACCTTCTGGAGGCGGCGGCGGAGGCGGTGGTAAAATATTCACCTTTTTATGATGGGCTAGTGCATGTGGCGGCAACTCTCCTGTTCTATAGAAATGTTGTTCTTCGAAAACTGTGGCATGAACATATTTACAATTCGGAAGAGCGCATACAGAGTTTTGGAAGTTTCGGCAAAACGTATAGACACCAACAAGTTGTGATACGTCACATTTGTGAGTAAATTTGCAGGTTCCTGGTCTTGTACACCTTCCTCTGATAAAATCCCGGCACATTGGTTTTGGCTTACTAGCGTCAGTTTCTTCAGCTCCATTTAATTCTCTTCTTCTCTTCTCATGGTTTAAAGTGTCAGTTGATTCCTCACCCTCTAGTAAAGAATCTTCAGAAACTTTAAACCAAGGGATTTGATATTCAATATCCTCAATTTCCTGTTTAAGTTTTAAAGCTAATTTCGGTTTCTCGCCAGATTGTGGCGGGTCTAAAGGAAGAGGTGGTTGCACATCTGGCATTATTTTTTCTCTTTCAACTTTTGGAGTTGGATCTGCTAAAATAGTTGGTGTACTACGGCTCGCGGTTTCATTGTGATCTATTTTAGACTTAATAAACTTTTTCATAATTTGCGGCTTTGATGCTGATTGGGTTATGTCTTCCACTTCGGATCGTGTAAAAACAGTTGACTCTGTAAAGTTTAAAGTAGGTAAATTTAAAAAAAATGTTGCTTTAATGTAACATGTTTATTTATTTATTATGCCATCCTCTTAGAACGTTGGGAAATTCTCATGGATACCTTCCGCTACGAGGGTAACAGAAATATTGTGTCGAACTTTTACCAGCTTAAACCCCACGGTGGTCAACAACGGCATATGCGATGGGTTTCAGGATCTCCGTTATAAACGCAAGTTTTCCAAAATTGCAATGTATGTAGCGCTTTATATAAAGGTTTTAATAGCTCCTAATTGATAATTATTAGTAGCTTAAACTTAACGGCGGGTTATCGCAATATTGGCTCTTGTAAAATTAACTTTAAATAGTCAAATTACTATACTTAAGTCCAGAAATATATATATCCTTTGTTGAGTGATATTAAAGGTTCAAAATACGATAAATTGTATTTTGCTCGATCGAAGAAAAATCCGAAATAGATTTTAAAACCTTTTTTCGTTTTACATCTTAACTACAGCACGAGATTACATGAAAATGGCATATACTTAAAGGTAATCGTATTATAAAGTGATTTTAATGGATAATTATTTTGAAATCAATAGTTTTGCTAACAATTAAAAATTAAAATAATAAACGGCTCACGCCGAGATGCGCGTCTCGTGCTTTGTGTCCAGCCGGACATCCATTTGACCGGTGTCAAATTTTCTTAGATACGCTTCCTGCACTTTTGAAAAATGGCATATAAAAAAAAAACAAATAAAAAGCTATCAAATTTGAAAAACAAAAAAACATCCTTTAGAGCAAAATTTAAAGAAATAAATATATTGACTTTGGCCGCTCAATATATTTACGAGAACTTATTGTATGTAAACAAAAACAAAAATAGTTTTATTAAAAATAGTGATGTACATTCTGTAAATACTAGGCACAAGTTAGTTATACCAGTTAGGGTGGATGCCCCTAATACCAGCCATGCCCCTAATTCCAGCCTTTTCGCCTTTTTACTTCGTAAATAAGATTTCTATTAGTCTTAACTACAAATATTGTTTCCTAAAAATTTCTTCGTAACTAGAGGAAAGTATATTTCAAATATTACCTGACAGTTTTAAACCTAACAGTTTAACAAAAATTAAAATCAAAACACGTACGCGACGAAAAACGCTCATTTTCCTAATTCCTTGACAAGTAATGATCCCGGTAAAATTATGATTACTTTACATTATCTCATATATAGGCTTTTTGATTTGTATGAATATGACTATATACATAGTAATGCAGCTATTTTTGTTAAAATTACCAAGTTATTTATTTTCTTTTAGTGGAAATTAATGGGCTGTAATTAGATATACGAAATGTATGGCGTGCATAATGTCAGCCGCCCGGCTGTTATTTGGTTTGACGTACCTAATAAGAAATACCTAATTTCAGCCACGTAATATAAATCAGGGCTGTCAAAAACTGGAATAAATACTATTAATTAGATCATAACTTATTTTATAGTTAAGGGAGTTATGATCAATTCCTCTGTTTTAAAATAGGTTTTAGATTTTAAAGTTTAGCAAAAGATGTACTAGCTTTTCCATCTGACATTCGGTGTATATTAAGGACAGCTTATGTATTCAATTATATTTTGAGAAAGAAGAAAAAACAAGCAATAAATATAGTATATACTAGTTGTTCCCCGCGACTTCACCCGCAAGTAATTTAGGGTTTTATTTATGTTGCGCGGAACCCTAATTCTTTTTCTAAAATATAAGTAGCTTAAGTTACTCCTCATAACATCAGCTATCGTTCAGTGAAAGTCCCGTCGAAATCGGCGCAGCCGTTTCGGAGATTAGCCGGAACAAACAGACAGACAGACAAAAATTTTAAAAATTGTGTTTTTGTTATAGGTACCGTATATACTTTCAAAAAGCTGTTATTTTGACATTACAAACAGACACTTCAATTTTATTTATGTGTATAGATAAGCAAAAACTATAACTTAGTAATACTAATTACAACTTAGAACATAAATGAAAAATTCATGACAAGTAAAGTGGTTTAGGACCAGGCTTTGCGGCAGTCTATGGAGGAGGATGTTCCGTAGTGGACTTGTGTAAGGTTATAATGACGATGATGATTTGAAAATTTGGATGATTAAATTATTAGAAATCGATATACTACATAACATTTTATCATAATTTGCTTTAATTTATTGAACTGCTTTAAACTAAAACACAGTAAGTTAAGTAGTAAAACGTTAAAATAATGTTTTCGTCTGTCTTAATAATATCCCATGCTTGTCACATGCAAATTCAAAATTAAAAGTTACCTACAATAGGTACTTACCAAAAACTCAAAAGGCACAATCCTATGCTATGCTGGCATTAAGTACACAAAAGGACGACATTCGGTACAGGGTGGCTGGCATTTGAGCCATAACGCCTCTTTTTGCTTATTGTCATTTTTAAAATTGTTCTTGAAATAAAATGATTATAAATAAATGTTCACTATATTTTTAGATAAATAACCTACCGATTAAAACAAATGTTTAAAAATATTGTGCCCTAATTAAAATAGCAGGAATTTTTAAAGTTGAAATTGGTACTAAAGGGCTGGTAATAGGGGCATCCACCCTACTTGACTCTAAAGGGTCAGTAATTCCTTCATGGGGCAAAGTATACGCTTTTACAACAAAGTCCCAGAAAATATGCAGACCTTTTCTATCTACTATATATACTATACTACTAAAGATTACATGACTGATAATAACCCCTGGGAATGAGGTGCTCACTACCATGCTGTTTCTAAATGTTTTCATAATAACTGTATAAAATATTATATTGTAAATTGTGCTTTTAATAGAGTCCCGCTGGGTTTCTTGCTGGTTCTTCCCAGGACAGAGGTATATTTTTTTGCGAACCAGTGGCAAAAGTAAAAAATGACTTTCAATAAGTATTATGTACTATAATCTATATTGAATAAAAATCATTCTATTCTATTCTAACTGGTGACTACAGTTACATATTCTAAGTAAATCAGTAGGACTATTAGTGCTTGTTCACATTAACTCGTGGGCGCGGAGGCGAGCGCGGTCACGAAATACCAGACCTATGTCTTTTCATTTCCAAGTGACAGGAGTAATGCATTGATTTGTTCCTTTTTTGTAACTTATGATCGTAAGATTTGTGACTTTATTACAAGATGCTATCCATAGTATTACAACCATGTAATTGGGTTAAAACTACATAAAAACTATATATTCATGGGGACAGCATATAGCTATGATTTTGTACGTGACGCGTTATCTAGTTGGTATTGTTGATCGAAGCATCTGACGCTAATTAGGTTTTTTATTTCAGTATTTATATATTATATATACCGTATATATTATATACGGTATTTAGGTAGTTATTTCGAAGCGAACTGTAATATAAATTTTAAAACAAAATACGCCCAACGCCAGTTAAAAAAAGAGGGGTAAAAACGAATTTTATGAATGGATTTGCGTTATCCGTATTACGAAATATTAATAATTCCATGTATACAGTCCGCAAAAAAATGCCCACTATGAGTAAAATTATGGCTGCTACTAGACTACATTTAGGTTATAAAAGGATGTGAGACGATATTACGACCGATCGTTTCCGTATACGTAGCAATTTTAAAAAATTTTACCAAAAAAGATTAGTTTTAATTGAAAGACCCAATATTTAAGCTTAGAGGGCTTAGTATTTACGCCGCATGAAGGAAAATTTTGTTTTGTTAATTAAAGTTGGTAGTCTGTTAAGTTGTCAGAGTGAGAAAGAATGATAGCCCTGGTCGCCGCTAGATAAAAGTTTACGCGGGGAGTGAATCCGGGTTTGTGGATTAAGCACTATTAATGTTTGAAGCAGATACAAAAACTGGTAATTATCACGACCAAATGAAATGAAAATTTCACAAAACGGTTAAAACAGAAACTCATACCTAACATACCACCTAATTCTATTATTGTAAGGGACAACGCCTCTTACCGTAGTAAAGAAGAAGACAGACCTCCCAACATAAATTAAAAAAAAAAAACAAGTAATGGTTGAGTGGCTCCAGGCACGCAACATTGAGTTTCCTGAACACTGCACGAAACTGGAATTTAGTTTATTAATAAAAAAAACATTAAAGACACGAAAAAAATATCTTAGACAAGTCATTGGCTGACCATGGCCACGAAGTCGTAAGACTGCCGCCATATAACTGCGACCTCAATCCAATTGAATACATGTGGAATCTCGCCAAACAAATATTTTCTGACAAGAACTTAGAACAGCTGGAGAGTAAGATCGTATCTATAACTTTAGAGGCTCAAGTTCAAGGTTCCAGCGCATTACCAGTTTGCGCGACTTATATGACCACATATGATTATATTGTCTATCAAAACTGCCACTCCTGAAATGTCAGCTAGTAGAGAAGTCATTAAGCGTTGGAAAATTCCTGGACATGTTTTTACTCCAAATGCCAACTTATGCACTGTATATAAACCCTTGCACATGTTTAAAGTTAGAAGCTTTGATGTATTATCCATCCACAATTAGTTGTATGTAGGCTCTATCTAGACCTAAAGTTGTGACAAATCTTCCTTCAGCTATGGTAACAAAGACTTAATTTGCCATGGGCATTGGATAAGTATCTGACTCTGTTTCTTCAATAACTGTACTGTGGTAATCTCCACATAAACAAATTTCACTAGATTTTTATTATTGCCACAATATCATCTACACACCTTCCTTTTTCAGACAATCTATTTCCATCTCTACTCTTTGCTTTATAGGATGCAGTTTTACAAAGGAAATTGAGTGCTTGAAATTGTTCATAACAGTTATACAAAAATATGTAGGTAAAACAATAAATTATAAGTATAAATAAATGGTTTTTATTTCTGTAATATTGGGACCATCATGAAAACATTTATTAAAACTGAATAATTAAAGCTTATTTATCCTTTTACTAAAGCAGAAACGAAATGTTTTTAATATTTTCTGCATTTTGTGTAGACCAATAATATGATTGGATAACAGAAATATATTTAGAAAAAGATTGAATAGGCTATGATGTAAAAAAAAAAGAATTAAATATTATCCGACACAACTGAACAGGCCGTATGGTCATTGATCATTGCCTGTTCCGAAGGAGACTTAACTTGGTAATCAAGTTTCAAATTGTCATGTGCATTTGGAATTATGGCTGTGTTTGTGGACAGATTTTGTGTTTTTACATTTGTGGATTTATTTAACTTGAACCTTGGCTTTTCTATCGGATTACAGGACAGTAGGTTGTTGCACCCACATAATGACAATAATGTGGTACTTGGGTAATGAGAGGAATAGAACAGACAATGTACAGCCTCCAGCTGCTTCTCTAGATGACTTTCAATTAATAATTGCAGAAAATAATTAAACAATTGAAAAGGTTGAGTTTTATTTTACTTTACTATATAATAACTACAAAACTGCATCCATTTGTATCCCTTTCAACATATTTTTTGAAGGCACCATCTATTACAGATGTGTCATATTCATATATCATAACCCACATATAATAAAACTATAACTTGCTTTAAAATACCAATAGTGCCACCTAGGTAAAATGAAAGTGAAAAGACTTTCCATTGACGTCAGTCGAGTTTGGTGTTGATACATATTTTTACAGAAAGATTACATTTTTATAAGCACACACACAAAGTTTCAATATGCGGAAACACGTACTTATTGAGAAAAAAATATTGTAAATAAAATAATTTTGCAATATTTAGTCAATTCCTACCGTGAAACTGACGCCATTTTTATTATTATTGTCAGTAGGGATGTCGATTCTTTCCGAAAAAGATCGATTTTTTAAATAGATTCGAATTGTAAGCTGATGTATCGATTCCCAAAAAATCGATTTCTAAAATATCGATATTTTTTTCATGTTTGCATTTATAATGTAAATATAAATCCATTTTATGAGAAAAAAATCCCCTTCATCATAAAGAAATAAGGGGACTGATTCAGAAGGATTTCTGTATCTATTTTGAGACTGCTACGTCTCCGGCGCTGCGGGAAGAGCAGCCTCCACGCCTTAGCGTAACAAATCACAGGCATCCCTCCTCGCCTCCGCAGCTTCGGCTTGTTGGTTACGACTACTATTGTTACTACGATTTGTTACAGCAGGCGGAGGCTGCTCCCCCTACGCGCCTCCGGCTCTATAAAACCACTCTAGGGGTAGGACAGACTCGTACCAGGTGGAGTTGGGGTCAATCAATTCGGTTCTTTGACATAAGTTGAACCTAACCTATTTTATTTGTTATCTGCCCTAATAGGTACTGTTAAATAAAACAAATTTCAATCATTTATCATGGTATCTTTCTTGTTTTTCATAAAATGGGTTTATATTTACATTATAAATAGAAACATTAAAAAATATAGATATTTTAGAAATCGATTTTTTGTGAACCGATACATCAGCTTATGATTTGAATTGATTTAAAAATCAACCTTTTTCGGAAAGAATCGACATCTCTATTGATGTCGACAATGACATTACAAAATAGCTCCAGTTTTATGGTAGGATTAGATATAAACATTGCAAGAATAATTGATATTTAATAATTCTTTTCTCAAAAATTACGCGTTTCCGTATGTTGAAACTTTGTGTGTGTGCTTATAATAGTGTAACTGTTCTGTCAAAATGCGTATCAACACCCAACTCGACATACGTCAATGGAAAGCTAAGCCATGAAAGTAATTAGTTGATTATTATACTAAAACAAAAACTATGATATTTAGATAACGGATATGATAATATAAAAACAAATCAAAATAGAATAATGTAATTTTTCAATCTCATGACAATTTTTTTTTATAGGATAAGGGTGACAAACGAGCACACAGTCCACCTGATGGTAAGTGGTTGCTGCGGCCCATAGACATCTACATCTATCCTCTATTACAAATCAAAATGTAGATGCGTTGTCACCCGTGAGGACTAAGATGGAATGCCTCATTTCCAGTAAAAAGGGCCTCCGGCCACCTGCACTCACCAAGCAAAACGCAGAGGCAAACCTCTACTTTACACTGGTTTTCTGTGAGGTTGTGGTACCACGCCGGTTCGAGTCGGCCCATCTGTGCGACAGCAAAAGCTGCCGCATGGCTCTGCCACTGTTATACACAATATAAATATAAATTTTAAATCGGAGATATGTGCCTACTGCTCAGCTCCTATAATGGTTCGATCTTTAAGTAACAGGACAGTCAAAGTCCCATCCAGATTGGTTCACAGGTTTTTGTGTGATGTGTGTTTAGTCAAACCGACAGACAACATTCCTAAAAATAATTGTTTTGGCATCTTTATCTACTATATAATATAAACCCAAATCAAATTTCAAAAAAATATTCAATGTACAGAAATCATTGTGTTAAGAGTTTTATTATAGTATAGATTACAGAAAGAACTCAACAAATAATTTTCCCCTGGTATGAAATCTGTCAAATATTTCATCTCATTCTAAAGTGGCATTGCCTTGGTGGCAGAAAAAATTGTAGATGCCCTGGCTTTACGGCTCTGGGTTTTAGCCCTCATTGGAGTCCCATAAAGTTTAAAGTATATTGAAATCGCTTAGGGTGACCAATGGAGGAGAGATGGCAGATATAATTGTTATAAGTTATATTTGTTTGTATGATGATTTTTTTTCTTACCCTTAATACTCCGACAGTTCTATTATACCGAAACCAATACAATTATTATCTACAGATATCTGTTATTTAACACCAACATGAAAAATAAATAAAAGGGTTACGTATTTCATCAGAACTACGAAATACACAAAAACACTAAAATCAGCACACCTTATATTCCCCACAAAATCATCCAAAAAAAGCCTTAGAATTATTCAGTCACAGCAATTGTACCTGGTTAATAGTAAATGTCATAATATTCTATAATATTCCCGACACACGCTTACATAAAACACTTCGTTAGTTTATAAAAATGCATAATTTAATCGAAAATCACCTACCTGCCTGCGGAAACTGCATTTACTAATTCAACCACCGACGCGTTTTCGATACTAACCAAGGCTTTGCATAGCCAGGTAAGTTAAATTTGTTAAAATGTTAAATGTACATACATTCACAAATAATATTACTAAATAGCTACATACAACAAAATAATTTTTAATTTTCTCTTTGCAGAGGTGCAGTTTCCAGTTTTCATACGTAGTAACAGGAACAGAACCAAAGAGTATAGTAATCAATACACAAAATCAATAGTATTAGTAATAGTCCTAAACAGAACAGATGAACAATATTTTTTTAATATAAAACTGGCTTTACGGCTCTGGGTTTTAGCCCTTCTGAGCCTGAAATTACAATGTATAATTATATGATAATTATCCTTCATAGCACACTGCTTCACAAAATGTCACTGACTTAGATAGATATATATCTCTATGCAATATGTTGATGCTTCAAATTGTTCAGCCCTTGGGAGATTTTGACGACAACTAAGCAGACAGTCAGTGAGTCTGTACCACTTCCCGTCACGCGCTTTTGTTAAGGCCGCGCAACGAGTATAATGCTGTCCTATACAGGAAAGGCCGCCCCTACTGTAGGGTTAGGTGTTGTGAGAAACAAATTGAATCCTTTGATATTAGCTGGAGTAGAATACATTGAGGTGTACTTATGCAATGTACGAGTATTAGTAATTTGCTGTATATGAGGAAGGTTACTGCAACATCGAGAAAAATTAAGATTATAACAACGTGAACGTCTTTGAAACTCAGATAAGTTACCTACTTACCATTTTAAACGACTTCAAAAAAAGAATATTTTTATGTGTGTTACCTCAAAACTTTTTCTAGGTGGACCGATTTTGATGATTCTTTTTATTTTAAAGCTGGTGCTTATAATATATATATATATATTATTCGGTATGTCAAAAAAAAACATCAACAGGGTGATATTATAAAAAACATAACTCTTATCAAATCCAAGTATTTGTTCGACTTATTAAACTGCGAAATTCATCAGGATGCTGTTTTGAACACTTTCTAGCATTAACTTCAAAGTTGAATTGATGCAATATCATAAATAAATTAATGGATGGTGCAGATATCCTAAGGTTAGAGAATAAGCTTTGCCTCAGATAAATGTAAAACAAAATTAAGAAATAAAAACATGTTTAAATAACACAGTGTTTTCTTCCACATTGCCCTTTTAACAAGCTCGAATCGAATCCATCTAAACACAAACATTTTTTATGAACTCATTTCATAATTAGATTAACAGATAAAGGGAGTACTCTTACCCATAGACTTAAAATAAACGGTATACATAGTAGCAGGTATAGATAGACTAAAATAGACGGTTATTATGTGCAAGGCAGAAGAAAATTCCTTACGGCAATATAGCAAAATAGAAAATACCATTTATTTATGCTTATAATTACATAATACTTAAATTTTATCTACAATATTAAAAACTATGATAATAAAAAAAATAAAACTAGAAACTTAATTATCCTATAGTCCGACTCCCCGCGGTATCGTGCCAAGAACGCTGGCTGCGTTTCCCCGCTGAATGGCTATACTTAGCCTTTGAGCGAGGAAAGAACCAGCCCTCTTATCACCAGCAGCAACGACCAGCCGCGGATGGAGTTCCTTTAGGAACTTCACCGCACGTGGACCCCACGGACCGATAGTCTCTACAGCAAATGGCACAAATATGTAGTCATCTCTCAGAGACTCATATTTGCGCCACTTACTCAGTTCAGCTGCCTCTGATGCCGCCCCGGCTTTAAACGAGGTACCCCTGAGATGAGAGGCCGCCAGAGTGTCTACGCAAGTAGCATCCCACACTAGGGCTTTACCTTTCTCCCAAGGGACCAATGTCATACCGTCGGGTCTCTTGCCATCGTCTCTAAATATTCCACAAGGCTCTAAAACCGAGGGAACATTTATAGAGGCAAGAGCCCTTCGGATGACATCGTTCAAAGAACTGTGTCGTGAAATCCTACCAGCGCTTTTCTTACATGAAAGTCCGTGGAGCCCAAACCTGTCGACGCTGCTACCACAGGGGCACTGATGGGGTTGACAAATCGCCGCTCCTAGTCGGATTCCTACGGCAATACGCAAGCTTTCCCTATCAAGTAATGTGCCGAGATTACTTGATGGTAAAGCATGTAACCAGTGACTAGATTCCTTAGTCGAAACAGCTAGAAGGCGTGCCTTATCTTGGTCACTATGGAAATTATGAAACAAATCCTTCTGCACGCCCTGTACCAACGGAATATCCCACTGTTTTTGTTGGTTAACTTCCAGTGGAATATTTTCACCAGGACAGAGCGTTTGCCATGTCTGCCCTGCCTCCGTAGCAAAGCATAGGTCTCCTTTATTATTTAAAATTATGTTACATAAGTCACTGACACTATGCACGGAAGCAAGGAAAGCAGGCAATGCAACGCTAGAAAGATTTCTCACACCAATGCCATCAAATTTTATAGGTAAAGTAGCTTGAGTCCAGGCTGTTGTATTTAAAGTTAAATTTAGAATTTTTTCTATAGCAATTTTAAGATTATTATCAATATCTTGTAAAATATCCGAACATTTCCAGACTGGACTCGAGCGGAGTAAGTATGTAAATCTAGGTACAAGAAGACAATATTTTAAAATAGTAAGAGCTATGTGGGGGTTTAATTTATACAATTTATCAACGTGGTTTAAAAACTGATCAAATTTTGTTTTTAAAACAGGTTTAATACTATCGAAAAACAACGGGGCACCTAGCAGGTATAGTGATTCCGTATTGACAGTTTTTATTCCTGGACAAATATGATTAAAATTTTGAATTAAAGTGTCTCTATGAGAAGTAGATAAATTATTGGAAAAAAATATTTCACATTTATTGCTATTTGGTTCAAGGCCAATATTTTTAAAATTTCGAAAAATATGAGTAAGATCACTGAGGACGTCATCTGCTCTACCTGCCAGTGTACCGTCGTCTAGGTACCAGACATTCAGCTTGAATTTCAAATTTGAAATAATGGGTTGAATTCCCAAACTGAAAAGTGCTGGACCCAGAGGGTCACCCTGCTGAACACCAACAGCAGAATCGATAACATGGTTTTCGTAAAACAAGTTAGTATTTTGACTATAACATTGCTAAACGTAATGATAAATTTCGGGGGTATTGTTAGCCACTTCTTTCAGCAAGGGTATAGGGTAACCCTATCAAATTCTTTGGTAATTTCTGATGTCAATTCAATATAAAACTCCTGGGAGGTTCTATAGAAATCTGCAATAGCAGCACGAGGTAAATTTTCATGATTTTTTAAATTTTCCATGCTTTCTAAAGCCTCTAATCCAATATATATTTCGCTTAAACCTATAAAATGTTATGGATTTTTGAAAACTGCATTTAAAAAATTAGCACAATACTTGACGTAGCTAATTCTCATGAAATTAGCAGATAGCGTTTCAAAAGTATTTCGACTAATGGTTTCAATTTGTGAAGGGATATTTCTGATTGAAATAAGGCATTGAATTTTGTTACCAGTGCAAATACGTACGAGGGCGACACTGAAAGTTTTTAGAACTGACCACTTGTAAACGATATAAAAAAAATTAAGTTCAAATTTTGAAAATGGAACTCTTTGCCAATATAATTGTGTATGTATTTTATTAATTTGTCATTTGTTTACGATTTGGCGGCAAATTGAAAATTTTCTGTGTCACGTAAGCATGAATTTAAAATCGAGGAAATTTGCGTACAATGATTTTTTATGACTTTCGATGTCATTTAAGTCAATAAGAAAGTTATGATAGACTTCGATTGGTCTTTCACGATAAAGCCCCATCTCGTGCCACTGTTTACAACTGGTTTAATGAGCGAGCGTGAGGAACGGTCTTCTACGGCGACGACTGAAGATAACATCAGTGAAGTGCGGCGTATGATAGAGACTGACAAAAAGTGACTTATCTGCAGATTCGGACAAGCTTAGGCATCGGTATAAGTCAAGTGTACAAGTCCTCCATGAGCATTTAGCGGTCTGGAAGCTTTGTGCCCAGTGGACACCTCACAATTTGACAGAGGCTCAAATACTCCGTCGTGTTGATTGGTGTCGTGTAATAATTCAAAGATTTAACGGAGGTGACTTAAATGCTGTGTTCGATATACTTATGGGTGACGAAAGCTTGATTCATTGTTATGGTCCTGAAACTAAGATTCAGTCTGCTGTCTGGGTGTTTCCTTCTGAGGAGTTGCCAACTAAAGTGAAGAGAGGTCGAAGCGTGGGAAAAAAGATGGTAGCCTCGTTCTTCGGTAGGACAGGTCATTACGCAACGATTGTTTTAGAGTGTTTCAAAAAAATCGTTACTGCAGAGTGGTACATCAACAATTGTTTGCCATTTGTCTTGGAAAAAGTTCGGGAGAAATGAGCTCTCAGTAGGATCCTCCTTCACCACGACAACGCCTCGTCGCACACCGCCAAACAAACAATCGAATACTTGGCCCGATCTCGCGATTTTTATTTATTTCCGAAAATAAAAGAAAAACTTCGAGGAAAACGTTTTATGGACGCCGAAGAAATAGTGGCTGCGTTTCAAAATGCCATCGAAGAGACCCCTAAGGACGAGTGGACTTTTCTCAGTGGTTCCATCGGATGCAGCGATGTATTGATGTAAATGGACACTATTTTGAAAATATTTTCTAAGAACTTTGAGTGTCACCCTCGTAAGAAATGAATTCTAAATATACAACAGTGAATTAGTTATTTATTGTAATCAGCATTTTTTCGATAGTCTTCGACGGAGAGAAGATTGTGTCTATCAAGTAGGTTTTTAATGAAATATACTGCTTTAACACACAGTTTACACACACTTTCAGCGAGAGCCATCGAGTTTTAGCTAGTGTGAGTATTTTGTGAATCTCCATTTAAAAGAATTCTTAAAACTCTCAAAATTTTAGTTGTCTTTGCGAACTTCTACTGAAGTGAGCACTATCAGAATCAGAACGCACAAAATCTTCGACATTTCGAGGTAATATGAGACAAGCTATAGGCGACGATAGGTGTATCATGTTATAAGAACATTTTACCAGAGCAATATGAGGCAATTCGTTTTTAAGAAGAGCAAAAACAGAGCAATATCTCCAAAAACCATCTTGTTTGTGGTATCTGAATTAAATCCTACCATGTTTTCTATGGATTTTTATTAAGAAGAATTTGATGTAAAAAGTCATA